TCTATACTCGGAGGATAAACCCCTGCCTTCAAAAACGTTGGACACGTTTTAGCTTAAACCCCTCTTAAATGCACTTGATTTTCATTGTGACACCATCGCACTCCGTGTTTTAGAGTGATGACTGCCGAGGCCAAGTCCGCGTGGCCTCGGGACGGGGGAGGGTGGTGTAGAGATAAAGTACTGCTTTTGGATTCAAATCATTATGATGGTCAGTAAGTACAGAGTGACTCGCCACGGTGTCGTTTTTCAGGGTGGTGTTTGTGCTCAATATCTTATTGCTGCTCCTTTCCCTCTCTCTCTGCGCGTCTCCTGCCCGGCTTGTGTCTAGTATTTCCACACTGGAATGTTGACTTGCTTTCCCCGTGATGACTTCTGCAGCTCACCTTCTGTTTTATTCCACACCGCCTCCCTCCCTCTGAATGTTCCGAATACCAGTCGGTGCGTAATTGAGATGAGTAATTTAAAATCAGTGGTCTGGGAATTGGGTGACATACCCCTATACATTTGTTATTTTGACTTCAAGACATGATATTGAAAATGTACGAGGTTGATTTATTGCTACTAATGCCACTGGCTGACGTGAGACATGGTATAGCTTGTATGTACATGTAAAAAGAAAAGGTTGTGAAAACTTGCATGCAACACGACACTCCAATTAATATGATAAAGATTAGCTAATGATACCCCAACTGCCCTTTTTATACAGCTTTGCTTGTTCCGTATGTTTCATTTCATCGAGTGTCTCTCGGCATTTGCTCTTTTAAAAAGGACTCTACTCTCTCAGTCCATTGAGACAGGCACACTCTTTGACACACACACACACACACCCTCGACAGGGATTGGTTCTCTGTAGGTCAGCTTCCTTAGATCACAGGCGGAGATCAATGTGTCCACTGTACCCGCGGAGGTGGAAGCGGTGAGCATGTACTCAACTTCACAGCGAGAGATGGCAGAGATGATGTAAGATAGAGGAGCGTGAAAAATAAGCTGTAAAAGCTGTTGAAATGAGGAATGAATGAAGGGGAGACGGGGGACGGCTCCACGTTGGGGGGGAGCAGACTCGGGGATGTTTTGTGCCCTCGGCTCACCTTTGTCGGCCCTGGTGATAAGCAGATCCTGAGGCTCCAGAACGTGCACCTGCTTCACCACCATGGTTTTGTCAAACACCTGGACTGGCGGCACGGCCTGCGTCTCTGAAAACCCAAGGCACGCATTGCGATAAAAAAGACGCTTTCAAATCAAGAGAAATGCATATGGAGGTTGAAAACGGGCTTTTGTACTCACCAGCGTTGGGCGAGGCCGCATCTGGACCTGAGAGAGGAAACAACTATTACCGTCACCATGTTAGCTATCGGCCACGTTACCCTGCTGGCTGCAGTATTGACTGCATATGGAAGGACCTATGGGGAGATATTGATTAAGAATGACCTCACCATCTAGCAGCAGGACCCCGGCCGCATCGGTGGCAGCCAGCAGGGACTGACCCCAGGAGTCGGCACACACGATCTCATAGGGGAATGTGCTGCAGAAGGACTGGGACTCCCATGGCTGCAGCATGAACACGGATACAAACTTATTAATATCCAGTTGAAAATGCATGATAAGGAACCTGACTTTTCTCAATTGTTTAAGGGAAATCTATTTGTTCGTTACAGGGAAAGAGGAATTGAGGGTGAAGTGAAATCACCTCTTTTCTGCAAAGGCCGGTGGTAACAAGGCTGGTTGGGGCATCTCCTCTCACAATGGTCTTCAGCTTCAGAGCCTCGAGACAAAATGGGGAATAAGATATTACACAACAGAGATATCAGAAAATCCTGTTTGCTTTCACTATAATAATCCCTTTTAATGTAACATCCTAATCTGAAAAAAAACCTCCAACTACCATATTAAGACCAACAAAGGGAAGAAGAAGCTAAATATCTTCCTCCGAAATGTAGTGTAGTAGAATCATACAGAACCTCCAAGCTCGATTTAGATATAATATAAATGTATTTCTATCTCACGGTGGTGGAGAAGATCCGGGAAAGAAGCCTAGCGAAACTGAAAAGTATGATAAAACACAATAATACATTTAATAAAAAATTCCTCTCAATAAAATTCAAATTGCACAAACGCAAACCATCTGATCAGATCGACAATTTCCATTTCAAGCTGCACAGTCAAGCGGCTGCATTATCATATCTGCATGGACAGGCAATCTGGAGATCACCATATCAATACCAACATAACACTGGTTCTGGTGCACAGCCGTGCACATCCACCGGGGGGAAAAAAAGAAGCATATTTCGTCCTATTAGGGATCCACGGGGAACACAGAATCATTGTACATGATGTGCACCACGCGAGAGGGGGGGGGGGGGGGGCGCACACTGAGAGGCAGTTTAGTCCGGGACAAAAGCCTCGTCTCTGCAAAACGGGATCATCAACGAGTCGACACGTCTACCTTCCTTTGTTTTCACGGTTTACAGCTCGATGCGTCGATGCCCTCTCGGCAGGGTTTGCAAATGAAGATAACAAGCAAAGGAAACACGAGAGGCAGCATATCTTTGGTAGCGCAAACATGTCTCTTAACGAGCTAATTAATATGTTCAATGGAAAATATGAAATACTGAGTGTTTCTCTTCAATGTAGACTGGAACCTTAAAAAAAAGCAGCCTGTTGAGCTTGAATTCACAAAAAGCCACAAATAAGTAAAAATTCATTGTGTCCTCAGACTTGTATAATGTGTATAATCATAGTTACGTCAGCGGCCCGGACAGAGGTGTAATGATGATTACATCATCCCAGTAATGACGGAACTGTGGCTCATGCACCTGATTCGACAGTCTCTTATTTATTATTTATTCAACCTTGGCCCTCCTGAAAGTAGTTGTCCAGTTCCCTCAGCCGCCTGTCAGGAGTTATAGCTCTTAAATGACCTCACGCTGGCATAAAGAGTCACACATTTTGCTGAAACGAGAGAGGCTACATTTTAAAGATCTCTGTGGCTTTAGTGAAGATCGTGGTTTCTTTATTTGGCTCCTCATTGTACCTGAATGGGTCATTAAGGCCATGAGCTTGAAGGATACCAATTTTCTTATCCATCTCGGACTGACATGGCTGTGTATGAGTTTTAAAATCTTCTATTTAATATGTAAATATTTGACCAAAAATGTAAACACAATCTTTAAGAATTAACCGGGGGCCAATGATTCAGTAATGAAATTCATATATATATATATATATATATATATATATATATATATATATATATATATAATATATAATTCGACCAGTTAGCTTACGTCTCTGATATTCTTCTCAATGATGCTTTAGTATGTTGGTTTGTCCATGTAGGCTGTTGATGGTGGTTTCTGTGTTCAGAGCTTTCTTACCTGCCCTATTCTAACAAACTCGGCCTGCCGCGCCTCCTCCTTCTTGCGCGCCGACTTGGGTGACTCAGGCAGCACGTCGCTGAAGGACCGCCGGTTCAACATGTTCTGGGGGGAAAAAGGAACCTAAAACGTGGAACACCAACACACAGACACACAAACACACAAGGGAAAAAGAAAGCAGACAGGGGGTCTTAAGAGGCCGACCCTGGCTCGGTGGGGGGGGGGGCAGCACCACCAGTAAAGCACAGTCGAGTGGAGGAGCAACCGCGAAGGAACAAAAGGGATGCGAGGGGGGAAAAAAAGAAAAAGCCTCGCTGAAAAAGTCAACATTGCCACAGAATGCAAGCCGCGTGGTGTGCGCGGTGTGCACGGCGTGCACGGCGTGCACGGCGTGCACGGGCTGCGGCACCAACGCTCGGCTCTACAGCGACTGGAGGAGAGGAGGAAGAGGCCGGCGGTCGGCGGTGCAGCCGTACCTTGTGTAGGTCAGGCATGAGGTCTTGGTAGAGCGAGCGGATCAACATGTCCAGGGTCCGCTGACGCTTCTGGGCAAACGTGGGCGTGTCCAGTGTGGCTTTCTCTCCATTGATTACTGCAAGAGATGAAGCAAGATCAATAGAATATATATATATGGATGATGGATTTATTGGCTGTATTCTGATGCTGCTCCCTTTGATTTCATCGTCTTACATTTGACTAATAAAAAGTCCCTGAATTCTTGGTGATCAGTAAATACAGGCGGAGATGGGAGAGGGGGTCCAAACAGCGGAACGCTCTCCTCCGAGAAAATCTTCAACCTGTGACAAAGAGCAGACATGCAGCATCTCTCGTTTGCCTATGAACAATGTTGAGCGCATCCCACGGCACAGTGAGGTGAAGACAGCTGCTCTTTTTAATCAAAGGAAACAATAGAGAGGAATTGTTTTACGTCGAGAAATGAGGAAGCAGCGGCCAGTGAGGAACCCCGGCGTTAATCAAAGCACTCACCTGTAACTGTCATTCTGGCTATTATACCTAACTAACGCAAAGATATCTGCGGGTGAAGTATAGGAAACTCTGATTACATAGCAGGCACAAAAATCAAGCCAAGTATCCTCAGTGATATCGGCTGAATAGCAGAAGCCCCCTTGAAGGCGCCGCTGACGACCACTTCATTTCTCTGACAAATCACCGCGCGAGCGAAGGATACGGGTGAAGTGCGATCGGATCATAGACGGCTTGAAGGACGACGAAGCGTCGTCCCCTTCCTGGAATACTATGGTGACGATGTCGTTTCCAATGTGTCTCTTTCTCTCCACCTGCCGGAGGGGACGGACCAAAGAGACATCAGATCACATCATTACAAATCAGTATTTGATTCATGGGCTGAGCAACAAGTGACAACGCTGATAGATAATCACCTCACACAGTTGTTACGACGGACTGACATTTGAGTATTTAATTATCTATCAGACACTGAGCAAGATTAGCATTACGACTTTCACGTTTGATGCATATTGCGGCACGACGCGTCTTGAAGTACCGCGTTTACTACCAGCCGTTTGTCACAGTCCCTGCCGACCCCGTTGGCCAAATGAGTGGGAAAAACTTCCTTTGATGCCGGGAGAGCATTACGTGGGGTTATTCAAGCCTTTTTCATAGAAAACAGCTGGCTGCAGTGTTTAGAAACGTCTCTTTCAACTGGAATGCCAACCATACAGTTTGTTAATAACTCTCCTTAGGTTTATCATTATGAACTTTTACATTAGAATAAATCATGTATCATTTTACTATTAAGAAATATAAATATATAATATTTATGATGGCTAAGTTGATGAGGAGTCAATGATGGGAACACAGTGTGTGTTTCCAAGCTCTCAACACCACAAACACCTTAAGAAGCAGTGATCATTTCAGCTCTTTGATATCAAAACATAAAAGGCATCAAGAACATTTATTGCACTTTCTTCAGTTCCATCTCTCAGCCTGATCTGCCTTCCCCTAAACGACATGTTTTCCTGGTCTGTGATGGTGCGATGGCTGCTGTGTCCACCCAACGATCTCAACGTCTACAAGCTGGCAAACATCTACTGTGTGATTCATGACAACACATCCTGAAAAGTAATTACTGAAGCGCAGGCGAGGAAAGTCACATTAAAATGCATGAAATGCTAAAAAAAAAAAAAAAAATTTAAATCACAAGCCCACTACAATCAATGTCAACTTTGCACGCAAGGCCTTAATTATCGAAGAAACACATCTCTGCGCAATCATCCTCCAAAGACGATAAGCCCTCTGGAGACCTCAATTTAACTGCACCGCATTCCGACTGCAGAGCCGCCGCGCCCACAGGTGTGAAACGCATCACATTCTCTGGTCTGGTCTCTCGGGTGGACGGCAGGCAGGCCACCTCACATTGCGCGAGCACACACACACACACACACCGTTCCTCGTTATTGTCTTTTTTATCTTGAGAAGAAATCCAATTATATGCCAGATCTGCTAAGCGGCATTCATTATGATTCAGAAGGACTAATATTGGCTCTGCAGAACGGAGCTCTACCGTAACGCCAGAGGGATGTGAACTTTAGAGAGTACCTGAAATAAAAATACATATATTAATACAATGCGCAGCTTCACATGCAGACACCCACCTGCTGCTTGTTCTCTTTGGAGTAGGGCAACATGGTGGACACATGGAACATGAGCTCGTGGCCCTGGTACACCGTGTAGATGGACTTGATTCCCGTAGTGTCGTCTGCAGGTGAGCACAGGCGGAAACAGGAGAGCACGGTTGAACAAAGCGCTTTGCTGGAGGGGATCGTTCCCGTGCTTCAGCTCCCTTACTCTTGGTGTCCAGCCCTCCGCGGTAGCCGGCCCACCCCTGCAGCGTGACGGCGTCGCCCAGCAGAGTGAGGAACTTGTCGAAGCTGTCACTCCCCGTCTCTGAAACGAAACAACTGACAATTAAATCCACACGGCAAAAACCTCCGGCTCGCTTATTGAAATGTCATACCTCGTCTGTTCAATCTGCACATGAATAATACAAGAAATGCAAGTTGTGTGCTGAATTATTTATTGGCAAAGTTAATTTTTATAAATGAGCTTAAGCGGCGCAGGTTGGTTGACTTTGTTACTTTCAGAGCGCCTGCAGCATCATCGTCATTCGACAGATACAAACGACGATCTCCTCATCCGACTCTCGGCAAGACGAAAGCGTATTCCCCCAAATGTCAAAGCAAGCCTTAACAGGTGTGACCACTGAGACAAGTGAGATTTACCGTTGCTGAACATCTCGTCATCTGTGAGCTGTCCATCTTTGGCAAACAGGACGCCGAATTTAAAGTTGACGGAACCCTACAAACATAAGGCCGAGTTAAACATTTCTAAAATCAGATGAAGAGTCAATATGTTACCGGTATGATATGTGGGTAGATTAGTAAAAGGAAACCAAACAAAAGGGCATGAAATAAGTAGTCTCTTGATAATAAATGAGCTCTACATTTAGCGATCAAAGAACAACTATGATAACTGTGAGCGCGTCGTCGTCCATTACCTCCTGTTCCTCGAGCACCAACAGATCCTGGAGAAAGAGGACATTTCGTTATGGAATCATGATTCACACTCTCTAGCAGTCCAGCCTGAGGGGTAATGTACAGTTCGGACGCTGGAGATCGGGCTTGGCATTAAAAAAACTCGAGACAGGGGACGTCATATCTCACTGTCTCATTGTGTGGGCGGGGGATGTCCTAGGGCACTTTCTCGAACATTACACGGTTCACATTCTTAAATCAGAAACCGTACGAAAACAAGCGGTGCGAGCGGGAGGAGAAGTGTGTTTAGGGTGGATGGGAGACGAATGTCCCAGCGGGCTGCACACTTCTCCTCCTGCTTGTACCGTTTGTCCTCGTACGGTTTCAGACCGATGAATGTCTCCCGTTTAATGCACCGTGTTATTGTCGTATACGGTTACGGGTCACTCACTGGGCCACTGATATACGATGTATCTGGTTCCAGCTTCTCAAATGTAAAGATTTTGCTGCTTTCTTTGTAGTTCATCAAAAGTTAAACATATATATTTTTGGGACTGTTGATCATACAAAACGAGCAACTTAAAAATTCAGGCTCCGGAAAATTATATTGGCCATTATTTTATTTAGACAAAAATGACAGTTAAAATTGCAGTCCTTTATTTGCTGTCTGTCATATTTGTCTGCAAAGCATGAGATGACCTCCAATAACAATCCTCACACGTTTTGTAAAGGGGGAATTGAGCTGCAGGGCTGCACTTCTCACCTCAGGATGGACTTGACTGATAGTGTTTTGGTCGGGCTGTAGGGGAGGCTGATCTTCAGGGTGCCCTAATCAAAGAAGAATAACACCGATCAGAGATTACGCCGCTTCTCCGAGGAATGACGCCATCTAATCGGCTGCGTTGTAGCCTATTTATACACTTACAACATTTCTTTCTCCAATCATTTATGGGAGGAATACAGAGGATTTAATACGGGGTTAAACCAGAGCAGTCTGAGCCAAACAAAGTTGTTCTGCTCAACAGCAACAACAACAACAACATCCTGTAGCCGAGAGTCTGACAGAAACAAGACAAATCAATGCGACCAGGCAGCGGAGGTGCGCCGCGCTAATCAGGTTCCAGATAAGGCTGAAGGCCAAAATTAAATCCAAGCTATCTCGGCCGTGAAGCCGAGTCGACGCGCTGCAAAAACACAATAAAGAACGTGCGTCTCACTCGTGCACGCGCACGCACACACACACACACACACACACACACACACACACACACACACACACACACAAAGAGCGAAGTAGAATATTGTTTTGTGTCGCTTCATTTTGAAATGCGCAAAAAGAAAAAATACATCATCCAATAAACAAGGCAGATGTTTAAGCTTAATTTGTTGTTCAGAGGTTTCAGTTCTCTCTCCTCTGTTTGGGGAGGAGCCAGTGAGGCGGCGGTGCAGAGTAGCCAGGTGTGTTAAGTACATTATGAGGTACTTGTACACTACTTGAGTATTTCCGTTTTATTCTTCCTTATACCTCCATGAAGGAAATATGAAGCCTCTCAGATGGTTTCATTTAGAACCGCTTCCTTTGACACTTTAAATACATTTTGCAGATAATACTTCTGTACTTTACATTAAAAGACGTCCTGTGGCGTTTTCTTGTGAACAAAAAAGAAAGTTATTTTTACATTCATAGAATGCATTGCGTATGTCCTTGGGGGTCTAACAAATGTGTATCCTATGAATGCATTTCCCTCCTCTTCCACAACAAAACAAACCTCACTGGGAACCTTAAAGCGGATTTCGGGACTCTCACAAAGGGTCCGAGTGCTCCCCCCCCCCTCCCCCTTTCTGCTGGCATGTGAACTCACCGTCTTTCTCCAGAGGATGGCTCTGTACTGAGGAACCCGCTGGTTGTTCTGGTCCGACAGGACGACTGACATGTAGAAGGGGTTCTTCTCTGCATCTGTACCCACGTAGTTCTGATGGACTGGGGAGACGGAGACGATAGACGGACACAATTAGAGACAATTAGCTTGGTCTGTTTTGCTCTGCCTCCACTCTCCACTCGTACCGGTTTCTTTATTATTTTCTGTGCCCTCTGCAGGCGCAGACAAAGATCTCCACCGTCGCACAGTCAGGCCACTGCTTCTTCGGTTGACCGGGCAACATCCTCAGAAACAATGCAGAGCAGGCCTCCAAACCCAATTAGACGCAGGATCTCGGCCTGAATCGCGGCCGTTCTTTTTGTCCTGCTTCTCTTTCCCGAATGTTTTCTTTCTTCGACAATATCATTTTCCTTCCCCCGTCCTTTTTCCTTTTTTGTCAAAATCTCTTTCTTACTCGTTAATCGTGTTTCTATGCTTCATGTGAGTTGACTTTGAGGTTGGGTTGCAATTATACACTTGTTAGTTCAGACAGTACATTTCTCTGTGTGGGAAGAAAGCATGTTAGTGAATCAGGAATGGTCTTCATACCCGAGGAAAGACAACAGGGGGACGTTTCACCATTCTGCTCCAATTCAAGTCCCGGTGTTGGAAGCGTCATTGGACAGGAAGTGCTGGTGGTAGAACAGTTGGCCCTGGGTTCATAACATGTCCCGTTGTGTGACGCCATCAGCTGTGCTCAGGCTGTGAGGCGCAGATGGCTCAGCTGAAGTCCAAACGGGGTCGAGCCAACTTTCTGGAGAGGCGGCTCGTTTCAAACTGCCAATGCCTCACCGTGATGGGACCCTGACGGTCATCTCCTTCCACCTCGGGGGGGCTCCGTCCTTTACCTCAACCTCATCGCGATTTAAAAAATCGCCGGCGGGGGAACCGTGGCACAACAACCCTTTGTTGCAGAGCCTTGCGGGCGGCGTCCCGGTGAGGATGCTGAGACGACGAGGGTCCGAAAGGTGAGGGAGGAAGTGAGCGCCGCCGGCCGCAGACCACCGGGGTTCTTCCGCGAAGGCAGCGGTCCGTTCTGATTCTGCTTTATCGTGGAAGGCCGAGTTTTGTCTGTTGGGCGGTGAGCCCGCGTGTCTTCCGGGGGTTTCTCCCCCGGGCGGCTAAAGCGGTTTAGAGAGCGGTGAGATCTTCCCGGGGGGGGGGGGGGGGGAGATACGGCTGGACGCTAACAAGTTTTGGCCTTGAATGAAGAGCAGTGCGGCGTGAGGACACGCTGACACGCTGAGGCTTTATTTCTGAGGCTCAAAGGCTCTCCCTCAACCGAACTCCATTTATTCCTCCCTCCACTCCATGTGTTTGATTGAATGTGTGTAGCAGAGCAGCGCTAACCTTTTCCCAGAAAGTATTTGAAGAACCATCTGGTGTGGTACTCTGGATTCTCCAGATGGACATCGGTTCTCCTCCAGGTTCCTGGCGTGTAGTCCAACGCCTGTTTGTAACCGAAACACATGCACAAAATAATTATAGACTTGAGTGTTATGATCATGTTTTATTATACTGTAATAACATCTCAAATATATCTTTATATCTAGAAGTTTACTTTGCACTTTATTTATTTATTCATCATTTTAACAGTCTCTTAAATGAGATTTATAAAAATTCACAATACATCCCGATATATTGAATCATACTCTGTCGTGGCGAATATTGTAAAACCATAAGTCCTACTAAACAGAGACAATGACGTCATGTGTGCAGAAAAAGAGTATAATATGGCATTGACCTCATCCGACGAGCCATTCTCCACCCTGAAGCGCCCTGCCCTCTGAATGGCCCCATCTGCGTCACTCGAAATCAGCTGAAGGAGACGGAGAGACACAGACAGAGGCAGGCATGTTTAATATTAGACATGTGACAAAGCGTGACTTGTGCCGGGCCGTAATAAGCCGGACGGAAACGCATTAGAGCTCATCGCTGCAGAAGAAAAAGAGGAACCGAGGCGGACAAATCACCTCCATGTGACAACGGCGGCGTGACCCCAAAAAATAGATCTGTCCTCATGGAGGTTTATAATCACCTTCGCCACAATACTCAGCCATCGATAATTGCTCAAGACTTTGCAATTACTCCTCCAACTCACTTCAGTGTAAAAAAAAGCGGTTTTATAATGTACTTTTCTTTCTCGCGCCTGTAACCCTCTGTACTCATCGCCCCAATTATCTGTCTCTGACTCACTTCTCTTTGCTAGGACAGAATGCATCCCCTATAAGCACATACAAATTAAAGTAATGGTTGCACAGTTTGGACAATTCTATAAACGCATCGACAATCCACTTATCAACAATTTTTCAGGGAGTTGAATGACATTTAGGTAACGGTTAGACAACCCGATTAAACTCGGCGGACGGGCTCATTTTTAGCTGTGCTGGCTGGAGTGGGTCACTTTCACATGGAAGTTTGTTTCTTGGTAGGTACCGAAGAGCCGGCCTGAAGTGTGACTGCTTCGGCAAACGATAAAGGATTATGTAACACGTGATAGCTCGACTCTTGTCGTGATTTTTTCTTCCTTCCCTCCTCATTCTGGATGTACCGAACCCCCTTTAACTTCTTCACTCACGTCCCCCTTTTCCTTCTCATCTCCCCCTTCCACCGTCAAACTGAATGATGCTTTGTTGCCAGGCAACGTATTGCAGTCTCTCCTCCCTTGTTGCCCCCTCCCCTTCCGCCTTTCTCTCTCCTCTGCGTCTTTTACCTCTTCTCTGACTGCCTTGGCTGTCGTACTCGATTTCTTGTCTCCCCTCGCCGATAGAGGTCACTGCTTTACCGACATGTACATTTATAAAGAGAGTTGGCCGCTCGCACTGGGATACGTCCAGATGGCCTGAAACGGTCCGGCAGGGGCGAAGCCAGAAGAGGAAGTTCCTCGGAGAGAAGGAGTAAACACGATAAATGTACCTCTTAGTCAGTTCAACTGACTTCTAGGAAGTACACAGACACAATGAAACTAGGGCAGCAACTAGAAGAATATTTTCGGAACTGAATAATGGGTCAATTATTGTCTAGTCTGACAGTTTGGTTCACAGAACGTCAGAATATAAATATTCATTTTCTGGCATGAAGATTTTCCGTGGCTCTCTGCACAAAATCCTTTTGAAATGAGTGATTGCAAACCAAAAAGTCATGTTGTAAAAGCATTTCTATTTATACGACACTGACTTCACACGCCCACACAAGGAAAGCACTGTTTGGATTTCCTCCCCTTGGTATACTGTGTATAATAAGATAAAAGAATCCATCCAAGCCGGTTTACTGCAGGTGCGAAGCTCTGATAAACGAAGGAGGTTTCTGTGCAATAATTGGCTGCGTCTTAGCAGAGGCTGCAGGAAATACTGCCTTCTCCTCCCTCGTATACATATTAATCGGTCTGAATTATGTTTTCTGCTTACTTCCTGGCGTGGTGGTGTGCGCGCCGGTGTTTATGCGTTAGTGAATGAGGTCTCCGTTCAAATTTGTGTGCGTCTGCCCATAAATTGCAAAGGAAATGTCGAAGCTATGGTCCCTATCTCCTTCCACTCCTCCTGCCTCCTGCAACATTAACTGTCCAATCGCAGGATAATGGAGGGGAAATAAAGTGCACCGCCTCCATAGTGTATTCTGAAAAATGTGTGACATTCTGTATTTAATGTGAGTTTAGGAACGATTTTGCGCATCCCTCTATGAATTGGCTTATCTTGCATTTTCTTCGGGTGAAAGGATGAAAAATGGCAGGAGAAAGGAGCCATTAAGCGCAATAGGGAGTCTGCATGTGTGTGTGTGTGTGTGTGTCTGTGTCTACGCGTACACTCACGCGTGCATCACGCAGCCACTGCTTTTAAATCTTACAGCAGAAGAGCGGCAAAAAAGGAAAAGCTGCACTCCAGCGATTCCCCGGTGGGGGAACTGGGGAGACGGGGAAGGGTGTCGTGCTTCTACGCTTTAACAAACAACCCATAAAACACTGCGCCTCTGCCGGGAAGCAACAGCGGAGGGATTGTGCAGGAGAAGAAAAAAAAAAGAAGAGGAGGGAATCAAACAAATAGAGAGAAGGGGACAGAATGAAGGATGAGGTCGCAGGGGAAGAGAGGGAAAAAGCTCTGTGTAATGACAACAAAAAGCCGGATGATAAAAGAATAATAGCCGTCTCCACAAAGCGTAACCCGGCGGGAGCATTTTAAACGGACAATAGATGTGCACGCACGCACACACACGCACGCACACACACGCACGCACACTTAAACAGCTCCCCTTTTAGGGCATGACTTGAACATTTCACGAACCCAATCGAGCTCACGGCGTCTTCACGGAGAGCCGCTGATTTCCCCGAGGCGCAAAGGGACAAAGCAGCGCTGCAGTGTGTGTGTGTGTGTGTGTGTGTGTGTGTGAGAGTGAGTGTGTGCGCGTGTGTTGAGGTATTAAATCATCAATACTTTTGTGACTGCTGATAGATAATTGATCTCATCAGTGGGCCTGTTCATGCACACTCACAATCCTCCGGGAAGGCAGAGAACACCGAGGCGTCGCGGCGTCAGGGTGGAGACGATGGAAGGGGGGGGGGGGGTGTTGAGAGGATGGAGGGGGGGTGGAGGGAGGGTGGAGGGGTGAAGAGAGGCAGGTGCATAGTCATGTAGGGGGAGATATCATTGAGGGATGAGAGGAAACCGAGAAAATGACAGAAGAGGAATAGAGGCAAATAAAATGAAACAAAGAAAGACGATGTTCTTCACCTACAGGGGAAGTGACTGTTGGAGTCTGGAGGAGCTTGTACGGGAGCTTGATGATTAGCAAATCAGAGTTTAAGATTAAAAATAGCAGTTCTCAAGTTTAAATCCCAGCAAAGCAAACTTTTTACAACGCATCCCTCAAGATGAAATCATCATCATTTTAGCATATAATGATAATAACAAACTTGAGCTATACAAGATATGAATGGCAGACGATTACTGACAAAACAATTGGACCAGTTAAAGTTTCATACCATGTAAACAAGTGTAGTTTTATTTTTATTCTCAGGGTCCCTGTTGTATGCTGACGATAGAATGAAGAAAGGATTCCCATCACAGGGTCAAAACCCACAATGAACTACAACTACTCACAAATATTGACTGCGCAGTGAAAAGCCTGAATCATCTGCGCCGAAGGTCCATTGTGTTACTAATTGTTTGAATAAAGCTCTTTCTGCTGTGCCGGGGTACCCTTGTTAGTTGAACCATTTTCATGCTTTTTAAAGTTATTTTTAAACTTGACGTCAATACAGAACATCCTCGGATCAATGAAATACTTGCCAACGAATTCAATCTGCTCACATGTTTCCATGTGGTTTCTGGGAGCAGCTGCGGTCAAGCTGTGATCAGGCTGATTAACAACGCGCAAAAAAAGCCCTCTCATGCCGCGTTAGCCTTCCCGCGACGCTATTCATCACGTATCACGGCAGCGCCACGGCAATAACGTGCACAGAAATACGACAGCAACGCTGATGAGATTACCGGGCGAAGGCATCCGGCCGGCCGGCAGTCACACCAGCACACCGGCACACCCAGATCGGGCAGATCGGGCAGATGCCGCAGTGACGCCTGCGATCAACAGATTATTGGTCGTGTTTCAGAGAAGAATAGGAGGAGGAGGGGGGGAGAGATGAGACAAAAAGAGCAAGCAGAGAGAAGTGTGATCTGTGATGGGGCACGAGACAAATGTTTATATTTATATTTCCTGTGTCACTTGCCCGGCGACCCTGGACGGGTCATGGAAGTGACTAATGGGTTCAACATGTGGTCAGTTGCAACTCGCTGCTGCAGCTTCTTTTTAAGGACCCTCACAGAACGCCAGGGGAGAAAAGAGGAACCAGATTTGATCACAGGTCTCATGTGTCAGAATATACAATTTGGGGAAATTTGACAAAAGGTCATTTTATTTTTAAGTTCCCACCCATAGCTTTTAAAGAACGTTAAACCAAATTTAAAGCACGACCCAAATACAAATGTTTTAACTGAATCTGAACCGATTTTGTAATTGCAATTTGTGACCACGGACAAAACACACAAACAAACCCGCTCACACACACACACACACACACACGCAGGCCGAGAGTGGGAATAAATTCAGTGTGACGGTGCAGTCAAAAGCCCCCGAGGCAGTGACAGTAACGCTGGCAGGCAGGTGGGAGTGGAGCAGTCTGCTCACCAGTCGCTGTGCAAGACTGACAGCTAACCTCTCAACACAATGTCTCACACACACACACACACAAACACACACTGTTGACATTTCACAGACGGCCTCTCGACTATCCCTCACTGCCTTCCTCTCGAATAAAGAAAATTCATGTAAAGCAAAAAAAAAAGAAATCCCCGCCGACCTCCAAGCTGTTGCGTCAGGATGCTGCGGCTTAAACCGTTGTGGGTTTCAACGGCAAAGGCACAATTCAGCTTTTGAAAAAGTGACACCAAGAGTGTGTGTGTGGTTAATAGAAACATAACATGGGCACACAGCCACACACACACACGAGACTGATTAACCACACATGCCGTTAGGTCAGGATGACTTTCACAAACAAAATCATACAATTCAATCAGTTCCAGTCCAGTGAACTGGTGAGTGCGTAAATATTCCGCCGGCTCGTGATGATTTCAGAGTGATTATCGGAGAAGCCGCACCTCCGTCGCTCTGGATCCTCCTACCTTTCACAATAAAAGCACATCAAATTGACTAAAAGCCTTTTGCTGAAAGGATAAACAAGCATTCAGCGCAGACAGATGCTGCCGGGGGTCAAAAGGATCCTGATGGTTCCCCTTCTGCACGTGCAAATCTATTCAAATATTTTTTATGAAAAGTAAGTATTTTGCATTTGCGTGTGGTTTATTTGTCACGGCCTCGGTGTGTAAAGGCCTGTTGTGTCTTGTTGTTGGTCAGCTTTTAAGCTCATGAAGCTGCATTAATCAATAACAGCACGCAACCCTCATGCCTCATGCCAACAGAAAGGCTGCTCTTCACATGTCAAAAGTAGTGTGTGTGTGTGGACTGCAGTGAATCATGTCTGTGGAGGAAGCTGCTCACATTATTCAACTGCCAACCGATTTCAATAATGCCAAAAATAAAAGCAGACAGTCCAGGATGAGTCACGGCTCTGCTTGTGCCCGGTCTCTCTTGTTAGGGAGTCCCTGCTTTGAATCTGCGTCTCCAGCTTGTGTTTTGGACGTTTGAAAAGCGCGTTCTTTAAAGCACTGGAACACAATGGAGTTATTGTCGCGTCTGGACGAGACGCGGCACAAGCGACGAGTGATTTGTTGTGATAGTGAGGTTTTTATGGCAGTCACCGTAACTTTCCCAAAGAGAAAAGGACATTGTTAAAAAGTTTTATAGTTATTTTTCATGACTGTCGAGTGTTGAAAAAGTCAGCAACTTTTAATACATACATTTAATACATGTCAAATGTAATATATAATACAAAACATATATTTCTCAATGCATACATTATAATTGGTTCTAAGCTAATATTTCTAGAATTCTAGAATTCTGAGTAAAAGATTACATTTAATTTCAGTTTTTTTAACATGATTTAGCATTTCTTTCTGTAGACATTTCTTTAAGAGTTTGGGTTTGTGATATTAATAGTGTTCGTGATATTCTCAACTAATTCTGATATAAAGTGAAAAGAAATCTGTCAAAAATCATTCATTCATATATTTTATTTATGGACCGAGCAGTGCATTTTGAAAAAAAAAGAAAAAAACCTTCATTGTAAACTTTTCTACTTTTTTCAAAACTTTTTGTTACGTCAAATCATCAGCAGCTAAATGTGATAATTGTGGATATTCGAGAGGTGCAGAAATGCCGCCAGGAACACAGAGCGCACGAATTCAATTGCCGGCAGCACGAGGAGCTGTTTGTCGGCTAAAAGGCACAAATCTCGCCTGGAGAGTCGCGGCGTTAAACGGCGCGAGAGCCACAGTTGACGAAAACACTTTCTCTTGTAAGTTCACACAGGCAATTATCGTGCTCTTTCAGACAAAATGTCATGCAGGGTGAAGGACCAAAGATGATTGCTGTAACGGAAGCTCGGCATCGTGTGCTTATTATCCCTGATGTTCTTTTCTGAAGATCAAGGTTTATCAAGCAGCGTCTTTCATTCGCCATTATCCACTTACTACTCTATCAAACATAACCCTGTTATCCCTCGGGGGGATGTTTAAAAACAGACTCATACTGGAATGGTGCTATTGGTAATTAAAACCTTGAATGTCCATTTTACACGATGATGTCGCTACTTTATGTTAGTTTCTCATTCCACTTGTGATCACGGCTGGAGCCGGCGGGAGATGTTCTTAGTTTAGCGTGAAGAAGGAGGGAAGCAGCTCGTCTGACTCTGTTCTTGCTGTCAGAATGAGTCAGTAAGTACGTCTAAAATCCTGACGGGAGTTTTAGAGAGCCCGGCTTCTGGTTTCCCCATCTTTCTGCTAAGCTAAGCTTAGCTAATCTTCTGCCGACCCAGGCTTAAATTTCATTAAACCGATCCTCTTATCTAACTCCCAGCAAGAAACCATATCGGCATATACCCCAAATAAGTCCACCAAATACCCACAAAAAAAATCATCAAATAAATGTTTTACCAAAGATGAGAAAAAGAATCGCAAAGCATCATGGGAGTAAAAAAATACTAATCAAGCGTAATTTTATTTGTAAGTAAGACAACTATTTAAACGTGTTTTCCACTCAATTACGCACATAGATGTCGCAATTAATAGATCAATAATGAATGACAATTATCTAATTGACAATTAGTTCGAAGGTCATTTTAAGGACCGGTGCCTCTTCTCAACATCAAACCCGGGAACAGTATTCACCTTTTCATCCATTGCATTAATTACCAAACCACGAATCCATCATGACGGATCACAGTGGACCCCTCGGCCTTCATCTAGCGTTCCAGTGGTGCGTAAGATGCAAAGATGAAGAGGTCACGGAGCATTCAGCGCCGCGAGCACCGATGCCATCAGTTCATTAATGCTGGCTCACACCCTCTCTTTATGTTTCTCACCCCCCCCACACACACACACACACACACACACACACACACACAGCAGCATTGTGTGCGTTGTCAGTCTGCGAGTGCCGATATGCGACATGTGGTTTCTCTGTACCGGCTCAATCACTCATGGGACAACCCACAGTATGTCGCTGGTAGGAAGTACGATTGCAGTGTGAAGCCGTAGGACTTCCCGTCCCTCTGGGTTATCGGGAGGCACAGAGACGCATTGAGCTGGGGGGGGGGGGGCGTTCACACCCACAAACACACACACACACACACACACACACACCCTTACAGTAATAATGACTCAACAGCTTAGCAACCAGCCACAAATACACACAGTCACAGTGTGACGCCGCTTTCAAAGCAAATGAACTTTGGAGGCCGAGCAGGCCGCCGAGTCGTGGACCACGCCCCGCACGCCGTGACTCATCGGCCGCCCCGGACAACAAAGAGGAGAAGGCGGTAGTGGCAGGCGTGAAGGGAGGGGAGATCATGAGCAGAAGCATCAACACAGGGGATGAGGGGGGGTCGCTCACCGTCGTCGGAACACAAAGAGACGTGTGTGTGTGCGTTGTGGGCGGGACTCACCAGCTCCACCGAACCATAGTGCTTCCTGCTGAAGTCCCCGCGTCTGCAGCCCAAGTCCTCCGAGGCCGAGCTGCAACACAAACGCATGGTCAGACACGTGGCCCGTCGGTCCTCCATCACACGGCACAGCTGCTTTTCTCCCGTCTTTCTCGGATCTCACTTCGTCTTCACTTTTATTTCTCTCTCGCTCGCCTTCCCATTTTATCGTCCCCCCCCCCCTCCCCCTGTCTGAGTCTCTGTCGATGGGGTAGGGCGGCTGGTGGCATGGCGACTGGCCCGGGGAGCGGCGGCCAACCCCAGTTCTGATTGAGACTCTGGTCCTGATCGAATTAAGCCACAGTGATAGATGGAGACTCGCCGGAGGAGGCCGACCCGGACCGCTCCGACTGCTCAGACGCGGAGCAGACGCTGGTGCACGGAAAGTGATTTCACGTGTTTGAAAAATGTGAACACAGAAGATAATGATTGCATATAGACATCGACAAGCTGCGTTGATACACACCACATTCATTAAGCCGCTGTTTAAATAGTTGTTTGCATGTTTGTACTCATTATATCGCCTGAGCCATAACCCGGATTCACCTGAGTACCTAAAACAATTGCTCCAGGAACCCGGAGGTTGGCGTCGCGCTGGTTCCCTCAACAACAGCTAATGGGATTTCCCATTGAATTAATGCAGAAAATAAGTCCCGTGGCAAAGGCGTGTACTTTGATACTTTTGTTTCATTCAAGACAAGAGAAACTTTAGGACTTTACATGCGAAAACAATAGAATAATCACGCAGGCAAGGTTGTACCGACCACAGAGTTAAAAAAACAACAACTACTCATTTCCACCTTTTAGGACCAAGCAGGACTCTTAGTGGCAGACACATGTGTTTGCACAGGCAGGGGGGGGGGGATTCTTGTTTGTATACGTCTTTATGATCGCTCATCTTACAGCTCGTCTCCTCTCTCTCTCTCCTTCTCTCTCTGCAGACTGGGCCCTTTAATATATAATTCACACTCAAGCGTAAAGGCCGCGCCGGTGCTACAGGATGTACCCATCACTGTTTCCTTACCCCCCCCGTCTACATATTGGTGATCAGGGTGGGGTCTACCGTAGCTCCACCGCAACATGTGCCTCATGAGAAGGATTATAGCTCGGCGCTGTGGGAGATTAAGTGACACCATCCCGCCCGCCTTCCTAATGAAAACCCCTCCGTCGCTGGCTGCTTTCATTAAGGCTTCCTGCGACCTTAGTCTCTCTAGTCACTGCGGTTCAGCGGGGATTTTTTTTTTTTCTTCTTTGTTCCGTCGTAACTGTGGCTTGTTGGTTTGGGTTGAGTAAATACGTGCATCAAAGCAGCTACTCGTACACAAGGAAGGCTTTGTTTGCAGAACACTTGTATTTGCCAAATTTAGATGGCTTCCATGAGTACTCGGGGGGGAAGTGTTCCGTGGTAAATAATGGTTCTTTCTAAACATGAGAGATATTTTAACACACGTGGGAGGCGTCGCACTTGGTGAGTTAAGAGCCATTTCTACACAAGGTGGTTTCTGTCGGCCCCAAATACTGTGCCAACTCCTATTAAAAGAGTAGAGGGACAAACCTGTCAACACGGCTCCGGGCCACGCAGTTATAAAACAAATCCAAGGTTGTAAACAGATAGAAGATACTCGATTCTTCGCTATGGGGAAATACAGAATTTTCCCATTTAGGTTTTTCACTTCAAACTAGTGCCTAGTTTCATCAAAAAATAAATGCGATTTGATGAGCATTTAATATTAAATATTTTTCCTTTCAGTCAGGTTAACTGAGGTCAACACTTAAATATTTCAATTAACTATTGGCAGGATTGAAAATGACATTTTCATCTAAAGTCAATATTTGGAATGATGAAGTACCAGCAAAACTAATTGCATTGTCACCATAAGCTGTAATATTCATTGCACATCTCGGCTTACTGTCGTACACAAATACTTTGCTGAACATGGTAGAGATGTCCTTCTAAACATCAGCACGTTAGCATCGTCATTGTGGGCATGTTAGCATTCAGCTCAAGGCTCAACCTACTGTATACGTTCAGAGTCACCAGCACGGCTTCAGACCCTTACGATTATCATCCTTCAGAGCTGCCCACATGTCCGGACATCATGACTTGAACTCTGCGCCGCAGAAAGGTCCAGTCACTTTCCAGCAGCCTAATGGCCTGTTTGCCAAAGAAAAATTACGTTGAAAGCTTGGCCCAAAGAGAAATAGCTCTGAGAGAACAGAGGTAAAGCGGATATTCATTACTCAGCTGCTGCCCTCGGTAAAGGAGTACGGGAAAGGTTACAAATTGTGCTTTCTGTCACAAGACAAAGGGCTCCAAACAGAACAGAATAAATCACACGGCCACCTGTTATACTCTCTAAATCACTCTAATATCAGGCTATTTTTGAAATGACCATTTTGTACTGCAGAAATAACTGCAAAGGTGTGTGGTTGAAATGTTAAAGCCCATCAGAGCGTCTAAATTATTCCTCATAGCACAAATCACACAAAGTATGAGGACGAGCTGGACAAAGATAAAGCTGACTCTCACACACAAAAATAAGAATAAGCCAAACCGTGCCATAAGCGCAAAACAATAAGTCAGCATTGCGTAACAGAAAAGGGAAGCCTTTCATGGACATGTTCTGCTCTTCTGCTCCCTCTCTGATGGTGCACCATGGAGAGGAGGCGTCCCCACTATTGGCAGCACTGTGCCATAAGGGCTTTACGATCTCTCTCTCTCTCTCTGCTCAAGTGGGACTGCGTTGAAGAACGTGGCATCTTCGGATCGATCGAAGAGACTGAAAACGAGTCCTTCCGGACGAGATCTGGACTCGGCTGGACAGTTTAAGCTCGGTATTACGTCGCTGCCGGTGATGCCTGCGCTGCGTGCACCTCCGGTCTACCATGAAGTGATGGGCATGCGATGAATAATTCAGACCGTTCATTGTGCATACTGAAATATCTACACTCAAGAGGCACAGCTCGGTGGACAAACAACACAACAGATGAACCGACTTGGTTTCATAAAAAAACTGGCGCAAAAAACCGGCGCAGCGGTTCGATTAAAAGCTGTTGCGGCGCGTCAATAGTTCCAGACCGGAGACTTGTGGATTCAGCAGCACTCGGTTTACCAGCAAAGATCAAAACAAGAAGCACCATATACATGAGTATAGTATCAAAACTCGACCAAAACAGTCTTGAGATTATTCTCAACGTTATCAGACGATCCGAACGCGCAATACGGCATTTTACGCGTGATGGTTTGCACACCGGAGCAGGTGTCTCCAGCTGTGTCATTTCCTCCGGGGGCTGCAGAATAAAACGCTGCAGGTGTGTGACAGAGCGACGGAAGGGCGCTGTGCATTCAACAGATGAGAGGTGGCATGCAGAAACCCCCGTCAAAGTAGCATTTCTTTGGTCGTTATTCTTTTTTTTTTTTTTTTTTACCGATGATTGAAAGTCAACAGTTTGTTAGACGCTGGATCCACACTCTTCATGTCCCCATGCGACGTCAGCGACCACGACAAGGAACCGGCGTCTAGCTGCGTCCTCTCCCTCGTCTCCGTGGGTCCGTCCTCCCGTTATGATCGCAGGGGCATCCCCGCGGCGCGGACTCCCAGCAGCAGCTGATGATGATGATGATGAGGATGAAAACCCCCCCGATCGGCGGTCGGACTCTTTCTGGCTCCGGTCTGTGCGCGCGACTGTGCCATAGGAGCGGTGCGTGTTTGTCTCTCTCTCTCTCTCTCTCTCTCGCTCTCTCTTCTCCCTCCCCTCCACAATTTGTTGCTGGAGCCTCCGCAGAGCAAATAGCACCATTCAGAGCAGCGTATGTCTTCTTTCTTCTTCTTCTTTGAGCTACTGTTACATCACCATCAATTGAGGTTTCTAGTTAAAGATCCCGAGGCACATCGCTGTGAGATAAAGAAAGAAGGGAACTTGAACATGCATTTACATTTTTCCTGGACAGCTGGGAGCATGAAGGGGCAGGAAATGCCTTTTATTCATGCTTTCCAACTTTCTAACGTTCGGCATGTCAAATCCATCAAGTCTGGTATTGTAAATGTAAATCTGTTATTCATTTTAGTACCACAACAGCTGTATTTATAATATTCTTTAATAATATGTTTAAGCACTCCCCGGTTCCCTCTTGGACTCTACAACAGGTCCAGGCAATATTGAGGTCATTCTTTCATCCATTTTTCATTCCTGCAGCCTCCGTTTTTGCCCTTCCTCCTCTCTTATCTTCCCTTTCTACATCTTCAAAATGCACCTCTCGGCCTTCCATTGACTTATTTAGCAGCATGTGGTTGCAGTGTGCGAGTGGCCTCTATTACACCGCTGGTGCATTCACGGAGTGACAGCGTGCCGCAACAAACACCCCCTCTTGCCCAATAATGTCCAGGCGGAAATATCAAATGCTTTTTCTTCTTGCCCAACTAAATACGTTAAGGACCTTAAGTTAAGTTTGCACATTTGATGAATATTCTTGGCCGGAATAAGTACACGATGACGAATAACTACTCGTTTGACCGTATGTGAGACCCACGCGAGACAAGAGGCAGTTTACAAACAGCTTCTCCGTTACATCGTTCGTCCACATTAGCCGCTCGACGATCCACTATTCACCACTTTGTCTGCAGCTGCGTCCGTCTGCCGTTTGGTGCCGAGTGTAAGCAGCTTTTATCCGACCACAACAGCTGCCTGCTGTGACTCAGTGTGTGGAATAGAACGATGGGACGTGTAGGAAAGAAGATTGGGAACATGTCAAAGGGGGGGGGGGCACAGAGAAAACCAAGGAATGTGGCAAAAACAGTCAAAACAGACTCAAATGTTTTATTCTCTGCACACACACACACACACACACACACACACACACACACAGCAGAGCGGTGAAATAGGAGCTCAGTTGAATCGGATACCTTCACAACAGCCACAGCCTGCGTCTCCGGCTCACAAACAACACCAACGGGTGCAGGAATGCTCGGCTCAGGCTACACGGCACTCAGCTGCATCATCCATCTTTAATCAGAAGAACCCCCGCCCCCCTCC